AACGGGACTATATATATATATATATATATATATAGAGAGAGAGAGAGAGAGAGTGCTATTCCTGTCCGGAATTTACGGACAGGAGCCCCGTCCGGCCTCCTCCATTTGGGGGCCTTCCCGGTGGTATTTTTGCTCAAATTTTTTGTGTATGTTCCTCATCAAGTCTAGTTCATCCATACCAAATTTCAGCAAAAAATTCAATCGGGAAGGTCGTCAAATGATTTTTGCAAGTTAACTGGTCCGGAATATGTATTTTCCGGACCAGTTAACTTGCAAAAATGATTTGATGACCTTCCCGACTGAATTTTTTGCTCAAATTTGGTATGGATGAACTAGACTTGAGCAAAAAATACCACCGGGAAGGCCCCCAAATGGAGGAGGCCGGACGGGGTTCCTGTCCGGAAATTCCGGACAGGAATATTTGTGTGTGTATATATATATCACACGCACAAATATATATGTGTGTAATGTGAGAGAACTGATAGTTTATTATTACTTCGTACTAAATTGTGATGCAATATGCAAATACCTGATAATTTGTTTCAAATATTATACTTCCACCATATGGTGTTGTGAAGGTATAGTCATAATCAAGAACCATCTCTTTTGAGGGTTTACTGCAGGAATCATTCGAAAAAAGAACGAATTCATTTAGGTCAGCTAAGTTCATAATGTAAAGGTTCAAGCAGCAGGAAGCCAACATTAATTTACATTTATACAAAAGCTTAAGAGGAATTTCTTTTAAATATGGAAGCATCTAAAAGATGTAATGACAGGCTTATAGAATTAAGATCCTGTAACTTATTGAAGTTAAATATTACCCCCTCTATCCCTTAATTATTGCACAATTTAATTGGGCATAGGGTTTAAAATAGTAAAAGTAAAAACTATGTGATTGAGGTTTACTAAAAAGAAAGATATTTAATATGAAATACATACTACTTTCCTTAAAAGAAAATGGGCAAAAACTCTGAGACGAAGGAAAAGGGAAAGTCTATAGATAAATTCGGACATAGGGCGTATATAAATGCTTGGACCTAATTATAGTGCTAAGAGAATTCACAGGAAAGAACTAACAATACAATGTTTGGTTTAGAGGCTTAATTCTTGGAAGTAGCATTAAAAATAATAATATTTTGACATCCCATACGATGGGGGTGAGGAGGGGATAAGCATGGATAGAGGTAGTATTATGTAACGATCCCACACCGGTCAAGTATGGGCTTGTCTAATGGCTTATCAGCAAGGTGTTCCCTCCTTCTAATCGGTCGGTCTTTTGGGAGTGAGTTCTATACATCGGCTTATGGCCTTGATATGGGCCTAGTATGGGTTAGGTCCGTGACAATTGATGTTACAGACCAATTCTATGGTCGGAAATATCAATGTAGAAATCGGATGATCAGGAAGGGTGAATCTCGAATCCAAAGTGGCTGAGAAAGAAATATGTGACCCGGCAATTTTAGACAACTTCCTAATCAGCAGCTTCCTAATTAGCATTTATCTCTTATCAATAATTATTCCTATTATGCGTTAGGCAACTTCTTAATTAGAATTTATTTCCTTTTAGAATTAGGACTCTTGTAATAACTATATAAGGATCATTAGTATTATTCAATAAACAGCTTTGGGAGAAATAATTCTTGGATCTCTGGAATACTTCTAAGATCACATATCACATTAATTCCACTAAGCCGTTTCTTTTAATTCTTCCGATTAATATGTTCATCATAGATTCCAAATTACATAGTTCGCTAAGCTCTCGTTCCTTGCGAATCTCTCATTCTCGTCCTTGGATGAGATCTTATATGGCAACCACCCCGAGTGTCGGGACCAGAAAGATGGGGATAACTCTGATACCAATTGTTACGGACCAGGTGTAGAACTCACTCCCAAAAGGCCAGTCGATTAGGAGGAGGGAACACCTTGTTTATAAGCCACTGGTCAAGCCCATACTTGACCGGTGTAGGATCGTTACATATTGAGCTAGAAAATTCAAAAGGTGGGATATTACGTAACAGGATTGCATCTCCACAGGTGTGGAACGGGGCTTTAAGACCTCATCCAAACAAGGGACTGGGCGAGGTAATGTGGGATTTCACTCAAGTAATCAACTTAACTAGATTGCACTAACACAAATGATCCCCAAGGAGCTGTTCTTATCATATTGAGCATTCAATGTGAAAGAGCATTGTGCTGATCAGGATTAATATGCAACACAAAAAGGGTGACTCTAGAGAAATGCCTATCATTGTTTGATACACATATAAGTTACTCAATACTAAAATTAAATTTTGTTGGTCAGTGGGAGTGAGTAAAATTTCAGTTTCATCCTTAATTAGAGAGTGGGTAAGACAGATCTGTACTTTCTGAATTTCCATATTGCAGCTGCCGGAACTTCAACAGGTGGCAGTCCTTCCTCCTTCCATCCAACCAGCGCATCAAATGCATTGAAGCAAAATTTAACACCACTTGTCACATGCTTAAGAACCAAAGAATTCTCCCCAAATACCATCTCTGGCAAGTGGGATGTTGTAAGTTGTTCCTCCCATCTGAAATACATAGTACACATTGCCATTAGTTTAATCCAGAAACTATTATATTATTGAGAACGACTTTCTACTTCGGTTGCACCGGCCATTGATATTTGATACAAGTATATAAATAGATATGCATGATTGTAGAAAAATATTTTTTTTATTAAATACATATCCATGTTTGTAGAAAGAAAATTTTCTTCTATTTAAAGAAATGCCCTTTCTACATATGAAAGAAAAACTCAAATATGAGTTTCAACCATTACAATCAAAGGCTATCAAGAAAAGAAATATTTTGGCAACTTGTTTTCAGAAAAATGCAATTTTCCCTCGAATTTGATTGAGCCGTGCATTATTTTAAAAGTTTCTAGCGGTTCTTTGAGCAATGGGCAGTTCAAAATCTAATAAGGTGTCGTAGCCAGAGAATGAGAGAAGGCTGCCAGCCAATGCTGACAACCTCTCTTTACAGCTCAAACAGATGGAGTATCTCAGGCGATTACCAAAAGTTATTGATATATGGTTATTGATATACTTGCAATATGTTAACTATCAACATTCAATCTACTCGCAAGTCACTAGTATATATTTTTCAAAAGTTATTCCTTTCTACAGAAATCATAACAGCAATAGATCCATCTACTTGAAGACGGGGGTGAATCAGCAATGCATAATGGCACATATAGGGTGGGGGGGATTACTGTTCCCGTTGAGCAGAGTTGAGAATGGAGCACTTGCGAGACTCGATTTCCCAACCTTGAATTCGAAGCCCTCGCCGTCCGTCAGTGAGTAGCTCCGCTCCGGCCGCTTTCAATTCTTTCTCGTCGCCCTCCCACTCCATCTTTTTCAGTAAACAATTACTGTATCTGCTCTAAAACAATCTGCTTTGATATGGCGTTTGTTAAAAGGGAAAGACAACTGACAACAAGCGTAGGTAGTACTTGTAAGTTCTGTAAACATTTTAGAGAACAAGATACTACGTATATTAGTGGGAAATAAATTAAAAATGCTATGAGCCTATTACGACATACTCACATTCTCCTTACTTCCTCACTTCTTAAATAAGTGAAACGGTCAACATTTCATACTTGTCGAGACACAACTTTGACCATTAATATATATCATTCTTTATCAGTAAAAAAAATTAAAAAAAATAAATTTTGAACATTTAGAATGAGACAAATTTAACAATATTTTTTTCAAGAAAATATATTAATACATTATTTAATTAAACGTAGTCAAAGTACAACATGTGAATAATGTAAAATTCAACATGTTGCACTTATTAAAGAACGGAGGTAGTATTTTGTACCACGTATACGTTTTATGTACCAAGCATAGGCAATTCATTCTACCAATTGCCTTGTAGGCAGACAATTAAAAGAGATATACACAAAAGTATACATAATATGTTTAGGTAGATTCTATGGTACCCCAAATGTACCGTACCTTTGTCCAAATAGACCAATAAGAGTGATGCAGTTGAATTATTTAAATCTAAATTAAAAAGCATATAATGATTTGGACCAATCAAATGCATGGTAGGTACGGTACCCCCATTTTTTAAATGGGTACCGGAGTTGTCACCGTATGTTTATACCAAGCATGGTTGCAAAAGAAAAAGAAAAAGAATTACATGTGTACTGATGAGGCGGTGTACAACTTGTATATAAGTTTTGTGTAAAATAAGTTTTGGTACCATACAATTTGCCTCAAATAGGGATGTGTTTCCTCATTATCTACTACTAGTATATTTTAATTACTACTACTTCCGTCCTGTTGGAAGGTTCCCATAACAAAACGGAACGATTATTTGGACAATAATTAAATAAATTACTACGAGTATATTTTGAGAAATAATTTTAAGGAAAAATTGACAAGAATAATCCCACCTTTCACTGGTTTTCTCATAATAATCTCACCTTTAAATAATCCCAAAATAATCTCACTTTTGCACCTCATCTTCTTTCATTGGACCCTGACCATGTTTTTTACTCTTTCTTTGAAAATTATACAAATAATCTCACCTTTCACTTTTTAATTATATCCTTATAAATGTGAGATTATTTATATAAGATTTTTTAAAAAGGTAAAAAATTTGGTCAGGGTCCAATGAAAGAAAATGAGGTGCAAGGATGGGATTATTTTGGGATTATTTAAAGGTGAGATTATTATGAGAAGACCAGTGAAAGGTGGGATTATTCTTGTCAATTTTTCCTAATTTTAATAGGTATATATTATAATGTAGTTAGTATTGATAGCTATGATGTTATAAATGTATTATTTTAAATATTTAATGATTAATTTGTCACTTAAAATTTCCAATTGTTTTCTAAAATGGAAATGAGAACTTTTATATGGGACGTCCATAAAAGGAAAGTGAGAACCTTTTAAGATTTCATTGTATAATAAAAAATAAATAACTACATTGGTTTTGATTTATCTATCATTATATAAAGAATATGTGAGCAACTTCAATAAAAGTGTGCAAGCAATTAAAATTTGAAATATTATGTACTTATTTAAATTTGTTACATGATAAAATTCCTAATGCATATTGAATGTTATCGATCTTTGATGATCTGATAAATCCCCATTGTAAATTAATCAATCAAATCGACCAACTGGCCTACAATGAAATTCGGGGAGGCAAAAAATACTCCTCACAACATTACAAAAACACCAAGTAAAAAAAAGCCAATTCTTTCTTTGTTTCTCTTGAATGTGCCTGTGTTGCTTTTTGCAGTCGCTTTAACAAATAACTGAAATAAGGCTTTCCAAACTGGTTTTTTCACTTCTTTTGACGAGGGTGCCCCAATTTAGTGGCTCAGCTACATGCCCAAATGGTAACTTCCTCTTTGTCCTCCTTGGTCAGAAAGTAATATTGGCAGCTGCATATGAGGACCCCTGGATATTTTGTACTCCCCATTTTGTTGATAATAATGGCAAAGGTACTACTAAACGTGTATTATTTCACAAGACTTGAAAGGATATCAAACGTCATTTGGAGTTATATAAAAGCAAAATTACCCTTTCCATGAGTTCAATAGTAAGCAATTCATCATGATAACTAGGCCTCAAGGAGCTGTGGAACAGACACTTCATTGCGAATAGTCCAATTTGCAGACATCTATTTTAAAAAAACAATCAGTAAGAATGTATATGTAACAAACCATTGACAAATTAAAGCACCAAGATTGTCAACTATGTCAAGTTCACAAAGAAAAAGTTGTTACTGTACTCTCATTAGTTCATCACTTATCCCAAATATCATTATATCAATCACATGCAAAATAACATGCGCTCTTATAGAATAACATTAACTTTAATTCTTAATGGATCAGATCATAAGACTAAGTTTCATATAGTTTTTTACTTTTTTTTATGTAAAACCGCCTTCTCATTAAATAAGCAAATCGTTAACAATCTGAATTACAACTTGCTCAGGCACTACGCCTAAGATCGCCTAAGATCTGGCTGTAAAACGCTTTCCCTTGGAAGAGCATGAGCAACACAATTAGCAGAAATATTACAAAACGAAAGTGAAAAATTCGGATTTACTTCTAACAAATGTCTAATATCATCTATATCCACTGGACCCCAACCTGCTTGAACAGCCCACTTAATCACCTCTCTAATACCAACATCCACGGACTCTTCTGGTGTCCAATCCGCTAACTTGGGAGCTGCTGCTAGTACCTAGAAGCTGCCCTTGAGAATCCCTAGCGACACAACCCCATGCTCTTGTCCCGCCTTCCACGTTGACTGCCGCATCCACGCTTACTTTCACCAACCACTACAAGGAAGCTGCCATTTCGCCTTCTGCAATGATCGCTGCTGCGTTACCAGGTTCTTGGGAGCTTGTGCTTCCCTCCAACTTTGAAGCATAGTGTCTGCACTTTTAATGATCAACAAACCCGTTAGCAACACCTCACTCCAAACCAGCTCATTCCTTCTTCTCCACAAACTCCATAACAGCATGATAAACCTACACCATCTCTCGTTATCTTTACCTTCCAAACACCGTTGCACCTATTCTTCTAAACCTGCTGGAAACCAAAAATCTGCCCCAGCAGCTCCACATACCGTCTGCACTACCTGACAGGAATGGAGAGCATGAAAGGCCGTCTCCTCTTCTGCCTTGCACAACCTGCAAACCGTTGACAAGTCTACTCCCCTCCTGCATAGGTTCATTGCTACTGGAAGAACTCCCACCATTATTTGCCAGAAATGATATTTAATCTTTGGTGGAAATCTTTTACCTCCACATACTGGTCCAACCAAGCCAATTGTTCACACTTCCCCTCCCTGCTATAGATCTGTAGCAGCTCTTCACTGAAAAAACCCGTTCTTCTCTCCAGTCCACCACCAAGCATCCTCCCGAGAACGAATGCTAATAGGAATCTGTAAGATCCGGTTACAGTCCTCCGGTATAAACATGGATTTGATTTGCTCATGATTCCATCTCTTGCCATCCTCCGATCTTAATGTGGCCACGTTCATATCCTTGATTCCCATTGGTCTGGCTGAAACTATTCTGCCCGAACCCGAGCCTGGCAGCCATGCATCGGCCCAAACCTGAACATCCTTCTCATTCCCGGCTCTTCTTCTAGTATTTGCAGCCACCACGGACTGGGCTTCCAATATGCTGCGCCATATGAACGAAGGATTTGTTCCAATCCTTGCCTTCGAAAATGAGGTTTCTGGATAATAGCGGGCTTTATATACCCGACTAAAAAGGTTGCCTCTGTCCATAGTTAGTCTCCAAGTTTGTTTAGCAAGCATGGCAATATAAAATTCCCGCACTTTACGGAAACCAAATCTGCCATCCTCTTTAGGTCAACACAGCCCACTCCACGCTTTCCATCTAATTCCTTTTTTTTTTCATTTTTGAACATTTCCACCAAAATCCATTCATTAAAGTTTCAATTTCTTAACATAAACCTTTTGGCAATAAAAATACATTCATTGCATGGCATGGCAAAGCTTGCACTACATTTTTTAAAAGAACTGCTCTTCCTGCTGTGGACAAGAATCTATTGTTCCAACTTTTGATTCTATTAATTATACTCTCAGGAAGATAACGTAAAATAGCTTTCTGCCCCCCCCCCCCCACCTACCATAGCTGGCAAACAAGGATAACGGGATTGACTCCCTTCAAGTGACACACCTAGCGAGTTGCACAGCAGTCCTCAGGGCAGTTCTATATTTGGACTAAAGGAGATTTTGGACTTGATAAAATTACCCGTAATGCTGCAAAATAGCTTTAATAGTTTCGCACTCCCAAATATTAGCCTTAAAAAATAGGAAACTGTCGTCCGCAAATAAAAGATGAGATACAATTACTAATAAATACATATATAATATACTCCCTCCGTCCCGAATTGAATTACAAACTTTGACCGGCACAAGGATTAAGGAATGACAATAATTGATGTTTGCTTTTTACAGTTTTGTCCTTCATCCTAAAAGTAGATGACTTTAAGTTGAAGGAAAAAAGTAAAAGTAAGGGTAAATTTGTCACTTTACTCTTATTTACATACCTAAAATAGAAAGTGGAAAACAATTTTGGGACAACCAAAAAATAGGAAATTTTGCAAAAAAAAAAATTGCGACAAAGGAAGTAATATATATTATGTCCAAAAATAATATACTATTTTATGAAATTTCGTGGACATCTTCTTCAAGAAGTGTAGATAATCTATGAAATATATTATTTTATGAAATGTGGTGGACATAATCTACACTTCATGAAGAACATGTTCACAAAATTTTATCAAAAAAATCCACCCGTAAGCACCTCAAATGGACGTGGCCGGACGACGTTCCGGTCAGGAAATTCCCGACGGGAAGCTTACTCCGGTTTGTACTACTCGAGACACTGTTAACATGGTCATGATTATGATACACAAAAACAATGGCATAGCTACGGTCTCTGAATGTTTAAATTAAGGGCAGGATGAAAAATAATTCATCCATATAATTTTTTAAATGAAAATATTGCACAAAAAATATATAAGGAACTTGACTGGGACCCGAGTTTGCCCACCCAAACTACGCCAATGCACATATATATAATGATCAAGGATCAAAGCTAAATAGATAAGCATTTTTCTTTGCAGTGTAGCAGCATGCACATACATAACAAAAATTTCACGTGAACAATTGCAAGAATTCAGCATTTGATCAGATTACCTTCTAATGTAGTCCCCTACGATTCAATTTCTTCTCATGCCCACAAAACATGGGTGAACGGACTGATTTGACAATTCTTAACCCGCTTTCTGAACAGCTATTAAGTAATCCCTCTCCCAAAAAACATTGCTTCATAAGCCCTTTTTGTCAAAACAGAAGTCCTAATTAATCAATGATAAATTCATTTTTCAATGTGATTTTTCAATACTATACCACAAAAGCTACAAGTTAAATGATACATATAGTTGTCAGAAAAACTACTACTCCCTCCGTCCCCCAATTAAGTTCCCACTTTCTTTTTTGGGCAGTCCCTAAATTAAGTTCACACTTCAATACTTTCCTTATTTGGCAAATTATCTACATCAAAACAGTGCCAAACAGTGTTTGAACAGTGCAAAGCAGTGCACTCCACAGTAAAGTCAAATTTATTTTCTTAATGTGTGTGAAGTCAAACCGGGAACTTAATTGGGGGACAGAGGGAGTATATTTTAAAAGTATGAATGGAGTATGATATCATGATGTGCCAAGTTAAAAAGCTATCATGATCTAGTTAAACCAACATCAGTTGTACCTAGTAGAAATTTATAAGTTGCCCCTTGATCAAATAGGTCTCCTTTTTCTGGGACAGAGAGAGTAGAAAACAAAACTCATCTCTATTGCTAGAAGAATCGATTCCTACCTCAGACATACTCACATATTACCATTTCTCCAACATATTTTGCAAGTTTTGTGATAATGGCTTATCTGCAAAAGTTGTCCATGGTTTTTGAAAGAGCAAAAATCTCAAATGTATGTCAACTCATTCGTAATTCAGTATCTTTGCCACCCGGATTTTTGATTGCATATTTTTTGCTTCACGATTTAAGCCAGAACGACGCAGACCATTAATAACTGCTTCTTTGTCTGACTTTAGAATTTTCTCACCACTTCTAACGCAAGAAAGCAACACCTTAGAAGCTTCACAAAACCTCCCTACCTTACAAAGACCGTTCACCATTGATGAATATGTAAAACCATCCTTCTCAACCATAGATTCAAATATATCCAATGCATGGCCAATGTGACCGACTTTACACAACCCATTAATAAAACAATTAAAAACAACCAAATTTGGCACAAATCTTTTCTTAGCCATATAGTCCAAGTGTTGGAGTGCGCCTTCTATATCTCCCGCCTTACACATGCCGTCAATCAAAATAGTATGTGTGTATATGTCACACTCCAACCCTCTTCCTTTTGCGTCTTCAACCAAAGAGAATGCATCTTCTATATTCCCGTTCTTACAATAAAGATTAATGAGATTGTTATAAGCCGCCATATCAAGCTTAATCCCATTACAAATCATATTGTCCAAACATTCAAGAGCTTCCCTTGTCCTATCCGCCTTAAGCAAACAGCTAATCACTGTACAGTAACTGTGTGAATCAAATACAAACCCTTTGCTTCTCATATCCTCAAGGACGCAAAGCCCTTCTTCAAAACGTCGTGAACTGAAACAACACTTCATTACTGTGGTATATGTAACAGCATTAGGAGTATGTCCCATTTCCACCAGCTCTTTCAAAAGCCTTCTGGCAGATGCGGGCCAACCAGATTTGCAAAGCCCGTGAATAAGGATGTTGTATGTTACCAACTGAGGTATAAATCCATTATGTTTTAAGTTCCTAAATAGCTTCATGGCATTCTTTGCATATCCATTCGTGCAAAGACCATTCATTAGGATATTAAATGTTGCTTTACCCGGTGGGAAGCCCTTCAAAAGAATGTCTCGGAATATTCTATATCCCTCATCTGGTTTTCCAGATTTGAAATAACAATGCATCAACATGTTGTAACTCCAAATGTCAGGAAAAACGTCAGATCCCAACATTTCATCAAACAGACCGATGCATCTGGATAATAAGGAATGTCTAGCAGCCCCGGATATCAAAGAATTATATGTTACGACGTCTGGTCTAATCCCGGATTCTCGCATTCTTTCAAGAACTGAATACCCTTCATTAATTCCGAAAAATTGACAATATGCTGGGATTAGAGTGTTATAGGTTACCACGTCCAACTGTACTCCTAGTCTTATACCGTCAACTAGTAGTTCTTCTGCTTTCTCTAGTTGTTTGGATTTACAAAAGTATGCTACACTTATGTTCAAAAGCTTTGTTGATAGTGCGCCTTTATTTGTCCGCATCAATTACAATCTGTGTAACAAATCAAACAAAAATATCATATGAACATTCTATATGCGATTTAATTGACATTTATAAACATGATGAGACTATGAAAGTAGTAACATTATAAATAAATGAATGGATGTATAAATAAATAAACAGAATAAATAAATAAATTAATTAATTAATAAATTAATAACTAAATAAACAAACAAACAAATAAATAAATAAATAAATAAATAAAACAGAATCCTGTAAAATCGCAATTCAACTCGTAAAATCGAGAACGGTTTTACGATTCATTGTTAATAGACCGATTCAAATCGAAAGAAGAATCGGATTTCACGAAATCAGGTGAAATCGAATTAAAATCGTACAAAATCACTCAAAATCATGATTTATTACAGATTTTGCGATTTTGAATTCCACTAACAACCCACGGATAAACATTTAAAACCAAAACAAACTCCATTAAGACTATTTGAACCCATGTCATCATATTATATGCCATTCAAATCTCCCGGCACTTAGCTACCATCCAATCCAACACAACTAAAGTGAAAAAGTAGCTTTAATATCATACACATTAAGAGCGAATTGATGAGCACAAAAATGACAAAACTACACAAATTAAGTATTATTTTGCATTTAAGAAAAAAACATACTAGGTATAATCTTAAAATTTTGGTTTGATTTTATACGGATTATAACTTTATTACTACGTATATTATACGGAGTATAACCTTATTTTGTACTTTTATTACTTATAAACTTTCATTCATTTCATTTTCATTTACCCTAGTGCCGCAAAGGCTTTCACCAACGGTGGGGTAAGGGGGGGTCGGATGTACGCAGTCTTACCCCTGTACTAAAGCACAGAGAGACTGTTTCCGGATGACCCATAGTGAAAATTGTGTCCAAAATTGCATGGATTGACTGCTGCTTCATAAAAAAGAAGCACAGACAGTTTAGTGAGCCATTTTGCTTTATTCCATCATATTCTCAAGCCAAAAATAATGAATCTTTGGCTCCATTGCATCATATTTATTTGTTGAGTGATGGTTGTTCTTTAAATATGTATAATTATATTTTTTTAATAATTTATACTCCGTATATAGTAATTTCATAAAATCTTACGATTTATGATTCGATTTAACGATTCGATTTTCAAATCCCCGTACCGATTCGATGCAAAAATACAATTTTAACAACCCTGATACACACCACATCAAGTAGGTGAGGTGTATGGATATTACAAAGTGTACTGCTGATCTGTTATTACTCATTTTAACAACCCTGATACACACCACATCAAGTAGGTGAGGTGTATGGATATTACAAAGTGTACTGCTGATCTGTTATTACTCATTTTTTTCATTTTCATTTACCCCAGTGCCGCAAAGGCTCCCCACATACGGTGGAGTAAGGGGGGGTCGGATGTACGCAGTCTTACCCTTGTACTAAAGCACAGAGAGACTGTTTCCGGATGACCCATAGTGAAAATCGCGTCCAAAATTGCATGGACTCACTGTTGCTTCATAACAAAGAAGCGCAGACAGTTTAGTGAGCCATTTTGCTTTATTCCATCATATTCTCAAGCCAAAAAATAATGAATCTTTGACTCCATTGCAAATGATGGAAAGCTAATCTGTTATTACTCACAAGTCACAAAATAGATTAAGTGAAATTATTAATTCCCTTACAAACAAGTCTCAATACAAACCAGGGCCTTGTAACAACAAAATCAAAGACAAAAATAAACACAATAGGAATAAGAGTTTTCATTAAAGTCAAATACAAAACACCATAATTTTACAACTGTTCTCTACGGGTTTTCATCAATTTATATCGTTTGATGATGACATCATGGTCAATTTTTAAGAAGATGTCTTTTTCTACATGAACAATAAGTCTATCATTGAGCCCATCATCACTCATCCGGTTGCTCAACCTATCAGCGTTGAACTTCCTTAAATTGTAGTTGACGGCACTAAGATTCTGGATGAACTACTTCCATTAGCTCGCACCTACTTCAACCGGGTTATACTATCTCTTCATTACCTATATTGAAAATAATGGGATGACTAATTACTACACTAATACTAATTAACTTAATACTTAGACTAATAATAACATATCACAAGCAAATTAATACTACTATAAATGATGATTACAAGTTTACAAATAATAATCAAATTCATATTCAGCAAGGCTGTAATTTAGTCTTTAAATTGAATTAAAAACACAATAAAATTAAAGATTTAAAAACTTACCAGTTAGGCACTTAGCACTTTAGCAGTGACTTAGGCAGCAGTTCTCAGGAGTCAGGCCTCTGCTTACCATTGAAGAGCAGCTCTCAGTTTACCACCGAAGAGCAATTACAGCAGAAACTAAACAGTCTAAACCGCCGTGCGCCGTCCGGATCCAACACTCCGAGTCTCCGACGTGCCAAGATCCGTTCGACGGCCCACTAGCGAGGCAGCGACTGACGATCGACGAGGGTTGCTACGTTGGGAATTGGGATTTGGCCTTCAGGGGTTTTGCTGAAGCGGAAAGAAGCGGAGTTGGATAACTTGGATTTGGGATTTTCAATTTTGGGTCATGTTCCAATTATGGGCTTCCCTGGAGTGATGGGAGACTTGTGCGGAATGCGGATGAATGGACTAACGGACCAAAACTGTTCTATGGGGTGTTTGGATCTGATTCTCAAAAATGATTCTACTCTTTCAGGGAGCAGGAGCAGGAGCAGAAGCTGGAGTGTTTGGGTGAAACACTCCAGCTTACCAGAATCAGTTTTTTTAGAAGCTGGGAGGTACCAGCTTCTGAAAACTGATTCTGATTCTGCTTCTGCTTTTAAAAAAAGAAACAGAAGCATAATCAGTTCCAAACACCCTCTATATTACTCCCTCAGTACTACTACTCCTCAGTCCTCACTTCTATAAGGCTTTATTTGCAATAACTTGTGCTTAAATAAAAGCACTTTTTGGGAAAAAGTGATTAGTAGTAAAAGTTGATAGTGTTTGGTACAATAAGTGTTTTTTGTGTAATAGAAAAGGTAAAAGGTAGATTCTACACGAAAACCGAGATAGTAAAAGTTGATAGTGTTTGGTAAAATAAGTGCTTTTTTCTTTAAAAAAAACCAAAAGCACTTATCAACCGAGATTGCAAACAGAGCCTAAGTGTTTCATTTTCTATTTTATGGCCGTCTCACTATAATTGTTTCATACTCCCTCCGTCCCTATTATATCTTCCAAATAGGTTTGGCACAGAGTTTAAGATAGTGGGTATTGTGTGGTGGAGAGTTGTGCAGAGGAGAGAGAAATGTGTAAGAATTGTTGTGAACCACAAATTCTGGCCAAAAAGGGAAAGTGGAAGTTTTAAATGGGACGGACGAAAAAGGAAAGTTGAAAGTTTATTTAGGGACGGAGGGAGTATCATATTTGGTAATATTTGCGTGATTATAATTCATTTTTACTTTATTCTCATTTTATCAATTCATTATCAACCACATAACTTTATTGTTCTTAAAAATTGCACCACTTTCCTTTGTTCTAACTAGATTCTCACTTGTGCGATGCACGGAATTTTTTTAATAAGAAATTAAGTATCATGAATTATTATTTGTTATTTTTGTAAATACTAATACATGATATCTTTGAAACAATTGCAGTGTGTAAGTACATTGAATGAAAGTGCAATAATTTTTTCGTCTCGAAAAAATTCGTAAAAATTGACTTTTCTCGATCAGTGACAATCAATTTTGTCTATTGATGTTTTTAATGCGAAATTATTTTGAATATGAAAATTATTTCAAAAGATTTCTTATTAAACGTATTTTCATAAAAGTATAAAATTTATAAATTATATATGAATATAATAATTAAAATTATTATCCAAAGTAAAATAGTTAAGTATATGTGTCACTCATATCTTGTTGTATGTTCTTCGATTTTAAGTGTATTATATCTTATTGGAGAGATCTTTTACGCTAAAAATGCTCTATTTATCCTGAGCTATAATTGATCAAGAAAAATAAGTATGGCAAATCTTTTCAGAACGGAGGTAGTAAATATTAAGAATTTATAAATTGAAAATGTCAAATCATAATGTTGATAGTAAAAGGACATCAGTCAATATTACAATCAAAATATATTATCATAAATACTTGTAGTTGTTAAACTAATTTGTAATATCGTATATAATACATTGTAGTAATTAGTTTTATTCATAGAATGAAAATATAGCTCCTTTTTGGAATTCTACAATTTTTTCTTCTGCTTACTTTTTTTTGTTTAATATTTTATTTTCGTATTGGGAAGCTTAAATATAACTATTGACATCTTATAAAATATCAATCTCAGTTACATGTTTTTTAGGAAAACCATTCTAAAACACCTTAAATTGATTTTTTCGTTCATTTTATTTATTTTATTTCCAAATTTGACAACATATTGACAAAACAAATCATATGTTATTCGTGCCTCAATTAATCAATAGATTCGTTTGATATTCTCTATTTATAAGGATAACATTTAAAATAAGACATCACAATTATTATTTGAGATAAATATGATGGCTGAAAGTTGAAAATGATGATTTTTTAAGAACGACATCAAGGCTAATTAAGTCATCTTACAATGTAATTATTATTTTGAAATTACATATTTAAATGTATGTATTATTACTTTCAGATGTGATTATTAGCCTTGAAAGTAATAAAAAAGTCACCATGTAAAATTATTTTATTAAATGTAATTATGTTGAACGTATAGATTTAAAGAGGACAATTCATATGCATATGGATGTATAGGAACCTCCGTGCGGACAAAGCCGTCAGAGGGTCTTTCTGATGGAAGTTTTTGATGATTTTTTTGAGCAACTTCTTTTTCAAATCTAGTTTATGCCAACTAAATTTCAGCTTAAAAATCTACTTTCTGAAGGCAGTTAAATAAATTTAAAAAACAACTACTCCCTCCGTCCCGGAAAATTGTTCCCGGTTTCCTTTTTGGGCCGTTCCAAAAAATTGTTCCACTTTCCCCTTTTGGAAAGTTTTTTGTGGCTACAATTCATTTACCTTTTTCTTACTCAACCACAACCATACATTTCCACTTTATTCCCACTTTCTTAAACTTCGTTCCAAGTCAATGCGGGAACAATTTTCTGGGACGGAGGGAGTATGCTAATGTATACATATAAAAGTACAATTTTTTTCAATAATTTATTTAACTGACTTTCCGATGAAATTTTAAGTTGAAATTTGGTGGGCATAAACTAGACTTGATGAAGAACATGCTCAAAACATTTCATCAACAAATTTCACCGAGAAGGCGCTCTGACAACCATGTCCACACGAAAATTCCTATACATCCATATGTATAGGAACGATACTCTGGCTTTAGATAGTCAGAAATTTTCAAGGTATATTAAAATAAGTCACCATAATTTACTTAAAAATTTAGTTTAAGAAATTTCACCTAAGGGCTTGTTTGCAATCACTTAAGAAAAGTGATTTTGGCTTTTTTTTAAGAAAAAAGCACTTATTTTACCAAACATACCAACTTTTACTTTCTCGGCTTCCGTGTAGAATCTATTTTTTACTTTTTCTATTACACAAAAAGCACTTATTTTACCAAACACTACCAACTTTCACTACTAATCACTTTTTCACAAAAAGTGCTTTTATTTAAGCACAAGTAGTTGCAAACAAAGCCTTATCTTCGAATCTTCGATAGCCTTGACCGGCCAATGCCCTCAAAATTTGAAATGCACAATCTTTACTTTTTTAAATGTAATTATTTTTATGTACATATATTATCACACATTTCATTTGAAAGGAAAATACTATCCTCCGTTTCTTTTTAATCGTAACATGTTGAATTTTACATTATTCACAGGCTCTACTTTGATTAAATTTTGCGCTATTTTTTTTATGAAAATTATTTTTTAAAAAAGATATTGTTCAATTCATCTCATTACAAAGTTTCAAAATCCGATTTTTAAATTTTTTTACTAATAGAGATTAAGATATAATTACGGTCAAAGACGTGCGTTGGCAAATGTGAAATGTTGACCGTTGCAACTAAAAAAGAACGGAGGAATTGTTAAAAAAAACTATTTTGGAAAATCGAAGTGTAATGAGAATGTGAAGAGCCTGGAACAATCAAAAGAATTATTTAATCATATTTAGATGGTTAATATTCTAGCATTTAACCTAATCAGACCAAAATAACAGAACTCTCTCTTCTCTCTAGAGAGAGAGGAACCATAGCGACCGTCTCGCCTCTTTGTAAGGGTTGAGATTTTCCACTGTCCCCTGTCAATATGAGATTGAAGCGGCAGATTATACTGATTTTAAGTGTTCTAACGCTTGGGATTGCAACTACGTTAGAGGAGATAGCGTTGGTGGATGAACGAGGTGCGGCTGAGAGGTTGTATCGAGGCAGGATCGTGAAACATTGGTCGGCCTTCCAACGGTGGTAGAGTTGGTATTCACCCATATTTCTATTTTAGTCCGGGTAGATTTGGTTTGAATGTTTGAATTTTTGGAATTCTTTTGCTAGACGGAGTTTTGATTCCAGTCCTTTTAGGCCTAAAGTTACTCGTTTCAGATTTAGCGCGTCATGTTGCATTGTATGAGGTGGCTGACTCTATGTCTACTCCTAAGGTTCACAGTTGGATCTGTAAATTATGTCTCAAGGTTGTCTTCTATGTGTTCTCAATTTTAATATAATGACCACTCTTTTATGATAAATAAAAAATCTTCTCGGGACATTCCCAAGTATTGGTGGACTCGGGCCAGTTCGGGCCCGGCCGGGCCTCGGGCCAGAAAAGTTGGGCCCAAGCCCGAACCGCCGGTGGGCGGTTCCGGGCCAAACCGGGCCGGGCCGAGCCTAACCGGTTTTAATTTTTTTTTTTGGCTCTTCTATTTAACCCCCAACCCCTCCCCCTCAACCCCAAACCACCCCAAACCACCTCAAATGGCCCAAAATACCTAATCCAACCCTAAACTTAAAAAAATTCAAAAAAAAAAATTAAAAACCGGCCCGAACCGGCCGGGCCGGTTCACAAAAAACTGGGCCCGAGCCCGAACCGCCCAGCAGCCGGGCCGGGCCGAACCGAACCGGTGGACCCACCGGGCCCCTGGCCGGGCCGGCCCAAACAGTAACCGGTCCGGGCCGCCCGGCCCGAGTCCACCACTATTCCCAAGCTTGCTACACGTAACACGTGTATCTAGCAGACTAGCAGCGAGCACAGCCGCAGCTAGGGGTGGACCGGTTCCGGTTCGGGCCCAGTTCGGGCCTGGGACCGGCCGGGCCTCGGTTCAGAAAAATGAGGCCCGAGCTCGAACAGGTGGTGGGCGTTTCCGGGTCCGGTTCCGGGCCGGGCCAGGCCACCCGGATTTTGATTTTTTTTTCTTCTTCTTCTCTTACTTAACTCCCTACCCCTCCCCCTCCACCCCAAACCACCTCAAATGGCCCAAAATACCTAATCCAACCCAAAACTTAAAAAAATTTAAAAAATAAATAAATAAATTCCGGCCCGGCCGGGCCGGTTCACTAAACTGGAGGCCCGGGCCCGATCCGCTAT